ATGTGTATTCATTTGCATGGTAACTAAGGCCATTCATTTGGAATGTTTGAAGCATTAACTGCTAACTTGAAACGTTTCTTTGCTAGAGGAGGTAAACGTCCAAAACTATTTAGTGACTGTGATAAGTCCCTTGGTAACAGCAGTTTGAAAGTCTGGAGATGCTTGAAAATCGGTGTGCCTTTAGTGCCAATTTCACACGTGATAAAAAGATAAAGTCTGCTGGCGCAAGATCAGGGGAAGATGATGATGACGCAGACTTTTTCCTCTTTCCACGACTGAAACTGGCACTAAAGAGACACGGATTTTCAGGAGTCTCGGACATTCAAGCTGCTATTACCAAGGGACTTAACACAGTCTCAAAGGAGGACTTTTTCAAAATTTTCCAGAACTTGTATGAACATTGTCAGAAGTATATTGTAGACGGCGAGAACTACTTTGAAGGACAGTGATGTATTTATATGTAAATATATAATATAGTTATTATTATGACATCAGTCACCTTACTTTTCGGTCTCACCTTGTAGTTAAATAATAATAGACATTTAAGAAAACATTTAGGTAAAATTTTGTTTCACAGATTCACTGTTCGATAGTTTAATTTCAATTTATCACATTCACATAATACTTACTACACACATAACGCTTGAAATTTTTAAAAGACAGCCAGAGGAAATATTTTAGAAGAATACCAATACAGTAAAAGTATCAGAATTGTTAAAAACAGGCCTCATAAAGCCACAACAATTTCGTATTTGTATAATGAGAATCATGAAATAAAATTAACAGAGCAGAAAAATAAGTCTTTCATTCACATCTTTTCTTTATATATATAAGCGGCTAAAGTGTGTGTCACCGATAGTTTATTGTTGCCACTCGGAAAAATGAGTGCCGAAATTAACGTTTCCGCAGTTTTTAATTAATATCTCGGCCGATTAAAGTCCTACGAAGATGAGAACGGTATCGATGGATTTGGAGAATTTTTTGGAATCCGAGGATACGAGTCTCGAATTTCAACTCGGCGCCGCTCCGTAGATATTCGAGAAAAAAGAATTTGGCACGTAGCCAAATCCCTCTAATAGGGAAAACCCAAGAAAGAAAGCGGAAAGTGTAGAGAAAACGTAGGGGGAAATTAGTTTTTAATTAATATCTCGACTAATTAAAGTCCCAAGAAGACGCTAATGGTCAAAATGACGTGCCAAGGACCTGCGGAATCCAACGGTGTGCTTCGCTAAGCCCGGGAGCCAGCCGTTTCGGAGGAGATAATGTTACTTCACCTCATATATATATATATGCGGCTTAAGTGTCTGTTTGTCGCCGATAGTTTATTGGTTGCTTGCGTAACTGTACTAGCCAATGGGGTGAAGTTGCCACGGCAGATTTGCCGTTTCAATTAAGACGTAGACAATTTCCTGTAAAATTGCCTTTGCTATGACCATCAATAAGTCTCAGGTTCAAACGCTTAAGCGTGTTGGCATTTTTTTACCTGAGCCTGCATTTGCAACTTTATGTTGCCTGTTCAAGATTTCGTTAAAGAACGGACGTAAAATTAAAAATAATGGATGGTCCTCCGCAAGAAGAGCTTAAAAATGTTGGAAAGATCTACACAATGTTGTGTACAAAGAGATCTTTGACATGTGAATTAACATTTTATTATTTAAATCACCTTTATTTATTGAGCTAGCGGTGGCTCTTAAGAAATGTGCCGCCACTTCATTGCACTCTACTTTAAGCAATTAAGCAAGTAGAAGGGGGAAACTCCGTTGGGCAGTAAGCAAAGGAGCGTCCTCGCCGCCTGCTTTGGGTAATTCAGTTTAAATTAGCTGACACCTTTGCACAAATCATTTTAATTAAAATTTATAATATCTAGAACAGCGGTAATTTCGTATGACCGCAGGCTTTCTAGTTACTTATATACGGACTGAAAATTAAATAAATAAATTAAAAAATTTCAAAAAAATCTGAAAGGTTATCAGATTTTAAATTACGTCCAAAAGAGTGATTTTTTTTTTTTTTTTTTAAACATTTTGTGTATTATCTTTATCAAATATCATGTTTTACGCACTCAAACCATAAAATTCAGTTCAGCACCAAAATCGCAAAATAATTTTAAAATGAGCATATCTTTAGAATTTCCGATACAGAGTCTCGTGCGCTGGAGATAAATTTTTTTCCCCGTATAGTGTTGCCACTGCCCGATTTGAAATCGTTGAGTTTGTCAATCAAAAATTCGTTGAAGTGATACAAAATATGAAATGGATAATAAAACAAATTTCAAATTCCAGATTAGGGCTTCCCCATGCCCATATTCTATGGAAAATTACGTTATTCAAATTTTGATGGCTCTAGGTAACGTCATTTTATCACAATGCGAGAAACATACATACATTCATGCAGATTCTTCATTATTTAATTTCTTTAAATATAATACAAGGCTCTAATATTTGAAGGCAACAATTTGAAAAGTAATTACCGTTTATAGTTTCCAACGCAAAATGCAAAAACGAAATTAATAGTCCTTCAGGGCAAATTGCCTCTTTGGACTAATAAAAGCAAGCATGAGGAAAATACCATTTTCGTTGTTCAAATACGTACAACTCATGCTTGCAAATTTGAGATTTCAAATTCAATTTCTGTTTGAAAAATGGAATTTAGGAGCCTCCCACAAATATCCTGCTTTCCTTTTTCTGATTATTTTACATAATTGAGATTCATAAATATAATTTATAAAAAGCAGGGATATTTTTCATCTAGATAAATATACAGCGGATAAAATAAATTTGTAAAATAAAAATTTGTACCAAAAAAAAAATTCCATACATATGTTTCATGTGATCCCAGCCGGCTTCTAACAATTTCAGTTTAAAAAAAAGTAAAACAATTTAATTAAAGGTTAATTTCTCATGTATTTTAATTTAAATATTCTATAAATGAATGAATAAATCAACAAAATGCTAAAAATGAAGGGGGGAAGGTATGAATAACTACATCACAAGTTACTTTTACAATATAACGTATTGTCTGACACATGACTACTTACTCTTTTATTAAACGAAATTCATAAAAAAGGTATCTCAAGTTTGTTCGAATAATTCTGTTTCAAAGAATGTTAAAGAAAATGAAATTGCATATTTAATGATAAAATGTTTTCAATTTAAATCAAACTACAGAGCACACAGTTTGAATGGAAAATGCGTTATAAAATTACGAAGCCTATAAACTATACAAAAGTTTAAGGTACTGAAAAGAAACTTCTTTCACTAATAGAAACTTAAACTCTATCTTTCACTTAAAAGAAGGGAGGGGAAAGCCGGAGAGATGAAAAATTAGCAACCGCCTTCGCCGGGAATCGAACGACGGACCTATGGAATACCGGCCCGCATATTTCACAAGTGCACATCAGCGTAGCCACTGAGGGAGGGATTTCGAAAATGGGCCAATGAGCTGCTACTGCTCTTGCGACGCTAAATCTTCGTGCACGTGAGCGTTTGTTGTTTACGTTTTAATTTGCATTTGTTTCGCAGTTGGCGTATTAGTAGAAAATCTCGTAGTGTTTCCTTTTCTGAGTTTGATTAATCGCTGACATTTCACTTTCGCGATTTTTATCACGAATAAATGCTAGGATTGATGTTCACGGCATATGATGTGGATTAAGAGAATTCAAGTGTATATTTTTTTTAATTGAGCTGAGAATGACTGAAAGTGTTACATATAGTAAAATAGTGTTTTCCTATTTCAGTGCTTGTATTCTTTTGATTTTTAAAGTGTAAGATTCAGACACATATAATCTGATTATATCCATTGTTAACATTTAAAATTATATGTGAATAAATGAATATACTATGAATACGATAAATTCGCTCTGTTTGATGAGTATTTCTTGTGTAGACAGTACATTTAAGAGTGAGCATTTATTAAATGTGAAATTTAATGCACTAAATGTATACGAATGCAAATTAGTAAAGTTCACTTTCAATAAAATTCTGCATTGGCTATTATTACAGAACATCTTTTTCATATACACTGCAGTAAAAAGTGCTGACTTCTATTTACATATATAATTGGTGTAAATATTTTTCTCATATGCATAGTTTTATGTAAAGATTGCATTTGGGTTCAGATGTTTATCACATATTTCTTTCTTCATTCTATTTACTACTTATTAAGTAATATTTCACATAGATATTTTTGCGAAGTATCCGACATGTATTTGTATTTATTTCAACCAGGAAGTGAAATCTTCATAATTTCCTATATTTGATCTAACTTCGCAATGAAAAGTTTCAAAAGCAATCGACGATGCTTTAATTATTTTGTACAGAAAATTGCGTGGGAGAATATTTTCAACCATCTTGCTTTAATCGTAAATCTTCCGAAGTGGCCTTAAAGCTTGCTAAAGATCATGTGACTCATCCACCATCCTTTTAGTTCGGGCGCCACTTTATAGACATTAGGAGAGATGAAAAATGAGCAATCGCCTTCGCTGGGAATCGAACCACGGACCTCTGGAATACCGACCCAGCGTGCAGAACCACTACCCCAAGAAGGCACGCTGGGAAAGCGGGAGAAATACCTTATAAATTAATGACAAATTTTGAATACTCCAGAGAGAGTAAGTTGATACTGCAAGTGTTCAGGTAACCAATAATACAATGTCCGACTTGAATATATAGTGAACTCTCTTCATAAGACCACTTCCGGAAAAGTTCCCAGTATTTTTCTAAGAATATTAAAAAACATGGATATGACGCTTCTAAGACGAGCATTTTCTCAGCAAAATCATTTGGAACCATAGGTAATCGTCTTACAGACTGTCCAACTATATATAATTTTACAAGTTAACTTTCGCAGCAGGTACAAAATCTCAGAATTACTTCGTAGATTATAAATTTATAAGTAAAAACTTTTTAATAACTGCATAATTTTCAAATATTAACTACAAAATTTAAAGGATAGTGTACCTGAATATTGCTAAGTAATTAAATAATAAAAATAGTACTCACGATTGCTTCCTATGTCGTGTACTGTTAAAAATATAGCTTTCTTCTCCACATTATTGAGGTCGCCCTGAAATTAAAAATGGAAGATACTGTCATTAAATGAAAGAAAAGTGGAATTGATATATTTTTTTCATTAAACAAAATAAATAAAGCATTTTGAAATTTTGTTGCTGAAAAATAAATAAAAAAAAAAAAAAAAAGAAATGATTCAGTATTCATTACAAGCAAACAGGATTTTCAAGATGTCATTCACTAAAAGACAAGAAGCAGATGCAGTCCACTATGTTCAATCTTGTTTGTGAGAAATTCAATACTCATAAATGTTAAAAGAATAAAAAGTGTCACAGCTGGTTTAGTGCATGAAAGTATAAATTTGAAATTTAAATTCAAAACTATTCGGTAAAATTATAAAAATGAAAATTATCAAGTCCACATTAATTTAAATGCGTAAAAAATCAAAATGCTTGAGTTTAACTAGCATTAAGTTAAATATTCACTTAATCCGGAGGAAGGAATTATATGGAAATTTCATGAAGCGTCGGTGATCGTTAAGTCTTGTCACCTAAATATCGATAGTTTAAAAACAGATGACAAACTAATCGTAATTACAGAGTTCTTGAAACAAAAAGCAATAAACTCATTAGAAGAAAAAGATTTAATGCATTAAAACCAAAATAAATATATAAATTCAAAAGATAAACTAAAGGTTTATCTTTTAAACTCATCGTCTTAACGCTGTTGTCATTAGCTTGCAGTCAATTTATAGCCCGATGGACCTAATTTCTTAATTCATACACAAAAGCAAGGAATTTTCACGTCCCGCAATCCGATGATTTCATAAGGCAGCGGGCACCTTTATGCAAGTCGGCGACTATTCACTGAGATCTTCCCATGAATACCCCCCGACATCCTGATGAAGGTTGTATTCCTTAGGGTATCAATTGAACTTACAAAGAAGATGCCGGCACCCTTATTTATGTTTGCGATTTTTTATACAAATCTTCACATGGGCATCTTGACGTCTTGATGAATGCTGCAATCTTCATGGCATAAACTAAACTTTATAAGAGTGCCAAACACTTCTTGTACCTTGAAGTTCAACGGTGAAGTCTAAAAACAGTGGAGGCACCTTTGTGCAGCAAGTTGGCCTTGCCGGTCAAACCAATTCCATCCGTCCCTGCACTTGACAGAAAATAAGACTGAAAATAACCTGATGTGTACACCACATGATTTCCTTGTACGGAATATTAAATCATACGCACGTTTTGCTGCATTTCATTTAAACTTATTTCCTCGAATTTCATTAAAGATATATTTCTCATTCAATTAATTCAATTCGCAGTTCGCGGCAGGGCAGAAATACATAAAACCTCAAAATATCTTCATTAAAATTTGAAAAATATAGAAAAAAAAAAAATAAATAAATACAAAATACAGTTAAAATAATCAAAATACAATTTTTACTATCCCAATTAAAGTTTCTACGCAAAAACAAGCAATTCGGCCAGCAGGCAACAAGGCAGATTTTTCGGTGCACAAAAATGAGAGTTTAATTTTGGGCCTTTTTGGCAAAAAGACACTGAAGGTGCAAAAACTGAATTCACTATTCTGCTAAGTTTCAAATATAAACAAATATAACTACTACGGTAAACAAAAATTAGGATTAGCTGCACTTAACTTTGGCAACTTTTAAATTGTTGATAATTCTAGAAACAATTGCATGCAGATTAACTAAAGGCATAAAAATCTTAACTGGAAGACAAGAACAACACAATCCAATCATTTTTAAAGCAAAAAATGCGCAGTTTATCAGCATATAAGGCGGGGGAAGGGAAACTGAACTCACTGAGCCAAGTAACACAGTGAGTATATATATATTTACTAAAGAAATATTGATTATATTATCTCCTAAGATTAATTTTAGTAGAATTATCTAAAAAGAGTGAATCCATAGTTAGTAAGTTTAATTCCGAAAATTGTTTTAAAGTAACTTGAATGTAAATCGTTAAAAATGTTTAACGGGGACTTGAATTAAATCATGAATAACAAAATTTCAATTGTAAAAAGAAATTAAATTAGCAAGTAATTAAATTAAAAGCAATTAATCATTGCCATTGATCGGAAATTAGTTGACTTTTCAAGTGGAACAAACCAACTCCCGTTCAATGAACAATAATCAAGAAATAAATACGAAGGTGTTTCGTTCTTTACTCAAGGCGATGCCAAACTGGCAATTTAAGTTAGGCCAAATATTTCCGTTAATTGAAGGGATCAAGAACCAATGCAGAGCACCAAAGAACTCATTCTGATTAAGCATTTTCGCTAATTCAACTTTGAGTGAAAAGCAATTTATGCAGTAAAATTGATAAATTCCCGTTAAACATTTTTAACAATTTACAATCAAATTAATTTAAAACAGTTTTCGGAATTAAACTTACTAACTATGGATTCACTATTTTTAGATAATTCTACTAAAATTAATCTTAGGAGATAATATAATCAATATTTCTTTAGTAAATAAATTATTATTAACTTACTTTGCAGCTATTGCGCAAGTAGTAGAATAACTTGATTTCGCACTAAATGAATTTAAGATCATACAACATTATATATATATAATAATTTATTTACTAAAGAAATATTGATTATATTATTATATAAAGAAGAATGTCTGTATGTTTGCTCGCGATTAACTCAGTCACTACTCTACCGTCACCAAACGTTCTGCAATTCTTTTCTGGGTCCAGGAAAAGGTCGACGTGCACTTTTTTCCTAAAAAAATTACCTAAAATTAAAGATATTAATTAAAAACTCCAAAAACATTAATTTTCACACTTATTTTTCTGAGTGGCAACAGTCTCGCGCGTTGGAGATAAAAATGCTTAATTTCGAAAGTGTTGCTACTGCTCGCTTTCAAATCGTAGAGTTTGTTAATAAAAAATTTGTAAGTTTTACAAAATCTCTCTATATAAGGAAGAATGTCTGTTTGTGTGTTTTTGTTTGTTTGTTCGCGTTATTGATTTCTGATTATTTATGATCAATTTTTTTGCAACATTTAATCGACTAAAATTGAATATAAGTGAAATATTGGATGGAACTTGCGCTTTGATGATCATTTGATTAGAAAGATGAAAATCATTAAAAATCATTGTTGCTGATATAATGGAGAGAGAATTAGTTTATTTTTCTATCGAAGTTTTTTATGTGGGTTCCATATCGCATCAAACTGAAAAATGTATGACTATGAATCATATTTTTTGCATCGTTTATTAGAGCACGATTACAGTAGTATCGTTCTCTCTGTTGTTAGATGCATTATTATCTATCTAACTTAACTGGCATCGGGTACTGCCGCTAGTATATATATATTTATGTATTTTGAATATATATTCAAAATAAAGTAATTAAAAGTAAATTAAAAAGCCTAAAACATGCGATAAAGCTGCAAAGTGATAAACCAATAATTCATAATAATTTATAATAAGAAATCTTTCCATATACCATCTCTCCAAGGAACACAAATTAAGTTCAAAACCATGAAAGAAAAAATAGCATTTTAAATAGTAATTTCAACTCTTGTTTATAAATCGGCTAAGAAAAGTCTTTAATCGCAAAATTCCAAAACCAAAAGTATCTCTGATGAATTCAATATTTAAAATTTACTAAATCTTACTTACTGCGATAAATTAAATATTTAAAATTTATTTAAAATTATTTATGATAATAATTTTGAATGTAAAATAAAATATGTACTACAAAAACAGCAGTACGTTCATTAAGGGATTAATTACAAATTAATAACAAGAATACTTTTAATGAGACATTTGAGTTTGATGTTTTTGATAATTTCATTTATATTTGGTCGTAAAAATGACAATGCTACTCTCATATCGTCTTCTGCATTCAACAGTCTCGATCTTTTTCTCGTTTTTATATTTGTTAATACTGAAAATCCGAATTCACACAAATAAGACGTAGAAAAGTATAATAATATATTTAACGCTTTTTTTGGCCATCATGAGATAATCGCATCTAATGTTAATCCAAAATGAATTAATTGATTCTTCCGAATATTTTAAAATTAAATCTCGATTAGAAAGCGAAATTAGTTCTTCCTCTTCGTAGTTAATTCAAATACAGAAGTCTTCGGCATCAAAATCGGCTTGGATACCACAATTGGCGCGCTTATTAATATCTTAAAAATCGAATTTCGCCAATTATCATGTCTACCGTATACTAGGATTAAACCCATTATAATTTTTACTATACACATTTCTAAAATTTGGCGGCACACAAAAGTGCCGCGGCACAGTGGTTGAGAATCTTTGCGCTAGAGATTCAAAGTTAGCAAGAGGCCAGTAAAAGGTAGCAAGCAGGTAGAACAGGCTCTGATTTGACCCTCTAAAGCATTCCTTTAATTACTTCCTTCTTTCTACCTAATTTGAGTATCGCACGAGCTGGAAATTTGCATTCTGGCAGGAAAATGAAACGAGGCTTGAATGCCGAGGTTAATATGCAGATACCATTACAAAAACTGGGAGAAATGTTTGTAATGGTAATAACTCTGGAAACAAGAGTTTAGGATTCAAGACACGGAATAATCTATGCATTCCTGAAATTTTGAATGTCAAGAAAGAGAGATAGCTTTTAAAACTTTCGTGTTAGATCAGCACTTTTAATAAAATGTTTAGTGTTCTACTACATTGATCATCAGATCTAGTAATTTTCCCTTCCCAGTAATAAGTATAAAAATAATATAACGGCGTTTGACTTTATACTTCACTTTGAGTGCATGGGAAAACGGTATTTAATTAGTCAAATCAGTTTCAATTATATATTACAAAATTCTTTAACTGAGGCACATTTAGTTTCCTAAACATACACTCAACTAAAATAGTAAATTAAATTTACTGAATACTTTTGATTGGATACTGCCTTCGACATCTAGTTTCGTCAGTAGGAAACAAGATGAAAATCGTCAGAAAATCATCCAAGTTAATACAATCCAGAAAGTAGCTACTACTAGGGCTATCCAGAAAGTAGATTACGTTTTGGAATAAAAAAATAAACAAAGTATAGGAAACAAATTTTAT